AAAAAAAAAAAAAAAAACAAGAGTTGTAACTTTTGTCTCTGACAAAATAGACTTTAGTAGTAACAAAGACTAAAAGAAACAAGGATATTACATAATGGTAAAAGGATCAATGTAACAACAGGAGTCAATGATCATAAATATATATGCACCCAATATAGGAACACCCAGATACATAAGACAAGTTCTTAATGACTTATAAAGGGACTTGGACTCCCGCATAATAATAGCGAGAGACTTTGACACCACATTGTTAATATTCGATGGATCAACGAGATAGAAAATTAACAGGGACATTTATGATTTGAACTCAGACCTGGAACAAGTAAACTCAGTGAATAGTTATAGAATTCTTCACCCCAGGTCCACAGAACATACATTTTTTCAGTATCATATTACACCTATTTCTAAAGTGACTACATAAATGGAAGTAAATCACTCTTCAGTATTTGCATAGCATTTCACAGATTTAAATGAAATATTGGTTAGCTGTTTGTTATTTTTTTTCCCTTATTCCCTCCTGTCTCCGCTGTTAAGTACAATTATCGGCATAAAAGAGGTTTTTAATACCTATTTTTAGATTGCATTCCAGCCTGGGCAATAGAGCAAGACTCCTGTTCTCTCTCCCCTTTTCTCTTTCTCTCTTTCTCTCTCTCTCTCTCTTTCTTTCTTTCTTTTTCTTTCTTTCTTTCTTTCTTTCATAAAAGAAAAAAAAATCTTTTGCTAAGCTAAGCTTAGAAAATGTTAAAGAACATTGAGAACATATTATAGAACTTGAAGCTTACAGGCTGGGTCAGTGTACAGTGCGCCCGCCCTCCCCCGCCCCGCCCCTCCACCAACGATGTGCCATTACACTTTCTGAGGTTTCAGTTACCTGGGGTCAATCATGGTCCAAAAATCTTAAATGGAAAATTGGAATAAACCACTGATAAGTTTTAAATTAATAAACCAGGCGTGGTGACGCACGCCTTTGATCCCAGCTACTGAGGAGACTAAGGCAGAAGAATTGCTTGAACCCGTAAGGTGGAGGTTTGCAGTGAGCCAAGATTGCGCCATTGCTCTCTGGCCTGGGTGACAGAGCGAGACTCCATCTCAAAAAAAAAGGAAAAAAAAAAAGTTTTAAATTGAATGTCATTGTGAGTTGTGTGATGAGTTCTCGCACTATCCCACTCTGTGCCACCAGGGATATGGATCATTTCTTTGTACAGCATTTCTACACTGTAGACACTGTTAGTCACTGAGTATCCACCTTCGTTGTTAGATCCAAACATGGTAAATATTGGGTTCGGTACTGTCTGTGGTTTCAAGCATCACCTGGGGGCCTTGGAATGTATCCGAGTGGATATGAGGGGACTGCTGTAGATGTGTTTGTTTAAGCCATAAGCTTCAGTGGTTATTTTAATTATATAAATCAGACTATGAGAAATGTGCACTTCATTGAGGAGTGCACATTGCAAGTGTATAGCTCGATGAATTTTCACAAACAGAACACTCCCAAGAAAGCAACACACCTCATCAAGAAAGTATTAAATTGCCATACATTTGGCCCAGCATGCTGGCTTACACCTGTAAACCCAGCGCTTTGGGAGACGGAGGCAGGAGGATCACTTGAGATCAGGAGTTTGAGGCCAGTCTGGCCAACGTGGTGAACCCCCATCTCTACTGAAAACAAAAAACTTAGCCGGGCATGGTGGCAGGCACCTGTAATCCCTGCAGCTCGGGAAGCTGAGACAAGAAAATCGCTTGAACCCAGGAGGTTGAGGTTGCAGTGAGCCAAGGTCGTGCCACTGCACTCCAGCCTGGACAACAAGAGTAAAACTCTTGTCTCCAAACAAACAAAATTTCATAACCTTTAATTTTCCAAATGTTTTGTCAGATTTTCAAATGGGAGAAATAATTTTGACGTTCTCTGTCCATTTCTGGTAGGGACAGGTGCCTGGTGCTGCTCTTCCTAACCCTCTCAACATGTTGGGGCCTCAGGCCAGCCAGCTGCCCTGCCCTCCAGTGACACAGTCACCATTGCACCCGACGCCACCTCCTGCTTCCACGGCTGCTGGCATGCCATCTCTCCAGCACCCTACACCACCTGGGATGACTCCTCCCCAGCCAGCAGCTCCCACTCAGCCATCAACTCCTGTGTCGTCTTCCGGGCAGACTCCTACCCCGACTCCCGGCTCAGTGCCCAGTGCTACCCAAACCCAGAGCACCCCTACAGTCCAAACAGCAGCCCAGTCCCAGGTGACCCCGCAGCCTCAAACCCCAGCTCAACCCCCGTCTGTGGCTACCCCTCAGTCATCGCAGCAGCAGCCAACACCTGTGCATGCCCAGCCTCCTGGCACGCCGGTAAGCCTCTCTCTGTCTACTGTCTTTGGGCAGAGACTCTTAGGAGGTAATTTTCCTGTAAAAATTGTCTGTCAGGCCAGGCCAGGCCAGGCGTGGTGGTTCACACCTGTAATTTCAGCACTTTGGGAGGTCAAGGTGTGGGACAAACACTTGAGCCCATGAGTTCAAGACCAGCCTGGGCAACATAGTGAGAACTTATCTCCACCCAAAAAAAAATTTTTTTTTTAATTAGATAAGTTTGGTGCTGTGTGCCTGTAGTCCCAGCCACTTGGAAGGCGTAGGTGGGAAGATCACTTGAGCCTGGGAGACGCAGTTTACAGTGAGCTAAGATCCCACCACTGCACTCCAATCTCAGTGACAAAGTGAGACTCCGTTTCAAAAAACTCCATTGATTAAAAATTTGCAAATTAAGATTTCTTTTAGTGGCTCCTTCTCATAATGTTCATTTACTCCACCAGCATCCGCGTTCCCACTGTTCACACAGGCTGGGGAATGCTTTGTCTTTAGATAGGCACTTGATTTCCCTCCGTTCAGATGCGCTTAGACATTCATAATTCAACCTTTTACCATACACATTAACCACCACATTGAAGGGAATTAATTTCAAAATATGAGCTTTCATGACTTAGCCAGAAAACTTTGAGAAAATAATTTCATATCAAAGTTTGCAAAGCCCTGCTGTTACCGCTGCCTTTGTGACAAGATCTGAGTTGTGCTTCTGGCTCCTGGTGCCTTCCTCTAGAACTCACTCCTACTTTAACCTCTGTTCTTTGGTTATTTCACTGAAGTATGCCTGCTGAATCAGTATTGAGAAATGTTCATGGGAAATTGTAGGTTGCATGAGCAGCATAATTGAAGATCATTTATGTTGCCTTGCCTACTGAAATCAGTGCTTTTGGATTTTTTCACAGCTTTCCCAGGCAGCAGCCAGCATTGATAACAGGGTCCCTACCCCGTCCTCGGTAGCCAGTGCAGAAACCAATTCCCAGCAGCCAGGACCTGATGTACCTGTGCTAGAAATGAAGGCGGAGGCCCAGACGGAGGACAATGAGCCCGATCCTGGTGAATCCAAGGGGGAGCCCAGGTCTGAGGTGGGTGCCACTCTGTAGGAATGCGTTGATGGCTTTGTGTTGTAACTTCACCCAGGTGTCCACGGGCGAGGCCAGGAGCGTGCCATGGGTGTCCCTCACTTTAGTTAGAATATTCTGTTGGAATGTGTGTTTGTGGCTCAGTGTGTAGGAAATAGACTTAAAACAGCTTAGCTTTTCGTTTTTAAATATGGGGTGGCATGGCCATGCACGGTGGCCCACACCAGTAATCCCAGCACATTGGGAGGCCGAGACGGGCAGATCCACGAAGTCAGGAGATCGAGACCATCCTGGCTAACACTGTGAAACCCTGTCTCCACTAAAAATACAAAAAATTAGCCGGGCATGGTGGCGCACACCTGCAGTCCCAGCTTCGTGGGAGGCTGAGGCAGGAGAATCCCCTGAACCCAGGAGGCAGAGGTTGTAGTGAGCCAAGATCACGCCACTGCACTCCAGCCTGGAGAACAGAGCAAAACTGTGTCTCAGAAAATTAAATATAACTGGTGGGTTTATTTTGCCAGAAATGAAGAATACTGGCTTACATTTGCAATATTTGAGGCCTCCAACAACTTTTTATTTGATGTTCTTCATTCATGTGTATTTCTGCAGAGGTGGACTGTAGAAGGTGGGGTGAAATCATTTACTAATTCACCTATGGCAGAAGCTGAAAACTGGCAGACCACGAGCTGGATCCAGCCTGTAAATGGGTTTGGCCCACACAGTATCTTAAAAATCAGGAAATTGCAAATAAAACTCTAGATTTCTGGCTTTTCTTGAAAAATGAGACGCTTTCAGTATTGTGACAGCTGTCTGGTTGTGAGCACCAGCTGTGGCAGGCTCTCTAATTAGCCACAGTTCCCACTGTTCCTTGCTGTCCCATACCACACTTGCCTCTGAGGACTTTTGGTCCCTGCCCCAATTTTTAAGGAGATTTTTATTCCAAATTAGAAAAATATATGTGAAAAAATATATATATGTGAAATATATGTGAAAAATCTGAGTATGTGTAATTTTTTTTTTTTTTTT